TAATTTCAGAACGTTTCTACTCTTAAAATGCATAGCTTCCCCCAAGAAATTGTGTTAAATAAAAGTTCCACTTAGCTCTTTTTTTATCCTGTTCCTTCACTTTTCAACTATCTATGTTAAGCAAAGGAAAAATTATCAGTCGTTGATTATAAACAGCAGATAACCCATTTCCAACCCTTCTCTTTTATGCCATCAAAGACTTCAGATGTGGAAATGAGCAGTTTTCAGTTTTGTCCAATCGATTTGAATTGATTAATTCAAATGCTTTCCCTATGAATAAGCTTGTCATATAAACAGCCCGTTTCAGTCCCTTTTTGTTCCAAGTGGAAAAAATATATTCACTTTTATTAACCAAAAATATTTTTGCATGGAGGCGGAAGGAAATTGGGTTGCTTAGTTGTGCCTGCTGAGCTCTGCTGACTACCATGTTTTTTTCACTATTTATTCTTGATAAATTTCAAGTTCTGAGGCATTAGTGATGATTATTCAAGATAAGACATGATCTTGGCATTGCCAAATTCTGATTTGTTCCTATTAAAATGTCAAAGGTTCCTAAGGTTTTTCTCATTCTTCTGACATTTTTCTTACCACTTTTCAAGTATAAATTTAGATTTGGTGTATTGGTATCATGAAATTTATCTTCTAGTAGTAAGAAAATACATTCCTTCCTCTACAGAAGTCTGTTATTTTATGTTTTGTACTGAGGTTTTCAGGTTTCAGTTGTGAGATACTTTTGGATAAACTTGTATGTATGAAGTCATCTCTGCACAAATACACTAGATTGCATATGAAATACATCTGTTTTCTGGGGCCGGCCCCGTGGCATAGCGGTTAAGTGCGTGCGCTCCACTGCTGGCAGCCCGGGTTCGGATCCCGGGCGCGCACCGAGGCACCGCTTATCAGGCCATGCTTTGGCGGCGTCCCATATAAAGTGGAGGAAGATGGGCACAGATGTTAGCCCAGGGCCAGCCTTCCTCAGCAAAAAGAGGAGGAGTGGCATGGATGTTAGCCTCAGGGCTGATCTTCCTCACGAAAAAAAAAAAATCTATTTTATTGTAATATTAAAATCCTTTTATTTAGAGAAGTAATTAAGAGCTTAACTCTTTAAGTTTCTTATTTGAATGTTATAATTTAAGTGACTATATCTCCCAGTAGTTTGTCTATAGAAATCCTGGTTTATGCCTGTTTCTCTGGGACAATTATTAATATCATCCTCTTTCACTCCATTCTGAAGTGCCTCAAGTTGAAAAATACATTGTTTGACACATTATAATACTAGGATAGTCACTTTTGTTTTGCATTTTACATTTTACATAGGATTGATCAGATTTCTTTTCCCTTTTCTGCCGTCTTTCTTCTCAATCCACCTCCCACACACAAATACAGAATGGAAGGGAGAGAGAGGTGTGTGTATATGGGAGATGGAGTTAATAAGAAACAACATGAAAGAATCGTGAAAAACAGTTTTGGAATCAAATATTGGCTTTCTGAAAGCATTTCTAAGGATGAAATATTTGAATTTTTGTATTTTAAAACATTTATTATAATGTTGGCCAGCTGGCTAACTCCTAACATCTTTCTCTGTAATTATAATTACATTTGATTATATACTCAGTTTGGAGTTTTAAAACTTTAGTTTCATTAGCTTGTACATGCTACCCATAGTTTCTATCAATTTTTCAAGTTTGTCTTTTGAAGAACATTTGAATTCCTGTAATTATATTTCTGTTACATTTTCTAGTGCATTTAACATTTAAAAATGGATAATTTATTAGTTATACAGCAGTTACAGCAGTTATGGCTTTATCTGTGTCAGGAATACAATCCATCTGGCATTTTATCAAACCAGTCTCAGTTTGAAAGAGCGTGGACGATAAAAACAAGTGTATAATATATTCACACTTCTTTAAAGGCTTGTTTTTGCTTTAACATCTGTTTGTTCTATGAGATAATTATATAATATAAATCTCATAATAACAGCATTTCACAAGGAGAAAACTTCTGTGAAACAAAGGGATTCTTAAGAGAGGCAGCATAGTATGATGAAGAGCATGGACTCTAGAACCAAGCAGTTTTGGTTCACATTTGGGCTCCAAAGCTTACTTGTTATGTGACCATAGGCAAATACTTCACTTCTCTGCATTTCAGTCTTCTCCTTTGTAAAATGGAGGTAATGATACAACTTATACCTTGTGGGGTTGTTGTGAAGGTTAAATGAGCTGTAAAGTGCCTAGAATAGTTCCAGCACGTGGGAAGCACTCTATATTTGCTATTATTATTATTACTGTTGTCAGTGGAAGAATAGTTCAGTTTATATCTCTCAGACTTAATTTGAAGCATTAAAAGTCAGTTGATAATATTAAAGGAAGTATCTCTATCTATCTTTATGTTAAAAGGAATTGTGTTGCTTCTTATTATAGTATACTATAGTACATAGTATAGTATTTGTGGGCAGAATATGGAAGGTGTGGTACCTGCTAAGAAGAAGGGGTTTACACAGAAATCTTAACTGGCACACAACTGTGAGAGCACCAACTGGTAGAAGCCTCAGCTTCCAGCACTTTCTCCTTTTCACTTCAGTTTTCTCTTTTTGATTTGCCTTTACTTATTTGTCCTTCAAGGTCCAACTTACATGTCTTCCCTTTGTTCAGTCACCTCTCTTCCTTCAGTTAAAAATAGTCAACTCCTCTTTGTGGCCATAGAATTTTGTTTGTGCCTTAATATAGCACTGATTATAGTTAGCTGGATGATATAGATTGGGACATGGTGAGTGCACTAGTACCCACTAATCATACCTCCTCTCATAAGCCCTAATGTTAGTTTATTCTGGGTTTTATTTTATTCCCTGTGACTTGCTTTTATAGTTAAATTATTGCTAGCCATTTCTGAGTAGCAGTGGCTTCCAGGAATACTCTTATTCTGCCCGACCTCCATTGTGTAGTGAGAAATAAGAATGTGTCTCAGGTACCCATTACTGGAACCAGGCATTGTTGCCTTCTTTCTTTATGCCCGTATTTCTAATGTCCCTTTTTGCAGTAAAGGAAGTATAATTAGAGACTGAAGCTTCACCGTCTACCAACTCAATAAGCATTCATGGTTAATTAGTACTGTAAATATGATCTCCTTGGAATTTTCTTACTGAAATAACTTATAGAATAGTGAGGCTATATTTGAGAAATGAAAATTGCAACCAAATTGGAATGATTTACTGACTAAAATATATAGATCATCTAGGAATGAAAAATATTTAAATGTTTAATATACTTTGAGAATTTTATGCTATGTTTAAAATTAAATTTTCATGTTGCAGTTAGTTTCATAAGAGAATATTTTTTGAAGGTCGTTGCAATCAGGATTATATCAGAAAATAATGACATCCCATTTTATGATATCTGCCTAAAATGAACTTCCACTTAAAAGTATACAAGTTATTTTCTTTTTAATAAGAGTTATCTGTACTCCAGTTTTTAAAAAAATTATTATATTTCTGGCTCATAAACTGTTTTACTGATGAATCTCTATTGGTTGACGTGTTTTAAATTTTAAATTTGTTGTTAACATCACCGTGCAAAAGATGACAGTGAGTACTGGCACAGCAAGTATGACCACTAAGCATTTCTATCCAGTAGTTATTAGGTAGATTTACTCAAACATGACTCCCTCCTGACATTCCCACAAATAGTAAAAACCAAATTTTAATATCCAATCCAGTTCTTTATGGCTAATAGGGTGATATGATATAAAAAACACTCGCTTTGGAGTAAGACAGAGCTGGGCTCAAATTATGGCTTTAACACTTAGGCTGTGTAACTTGGGGCTCGGTGCCTCAACTCTCTAAACTTCAGTTTACTCAGCTATAAAATAGGTTAGAATATACAACATAAGGAATTGGTCGGGATTAAGTGAGCAAAATCGTTTGTTACACTCTGTATTTATTTATAACTCTTTTAGAGAAGAGGATTTTAAAAGAATGGCTGTCTGAAAGAAGCTTACTGTTGGTATTTTTCTTGATCCAAACTTCCACTTTGATTAAAAACAAGCAAGATTTGATTTTGGAAGGCTCACGTCTGGCTATGTTATCTCCTAATTACTCACTGTTGTTACCTTCCATCTTTTGAACATTCCCCTTAACTGTTACCGAATGTTATCTTTCTGTCAGTTTCAGCTTCTGCTATCATCAGCACTGAAAGTGGGTGAGTTATCTATACTCTGGCCTTGTATGTCCTTGAGCCCTACATGAATATTGACCTTCGTCTCAGCTCTGCTTCATTTAGCTACTCCAGTGGTCACTCCCTGGATCTTGTTATCAACCAAATTCTATTGCTGAAAGTACTGTTCCACCTCCGAATCACCATTCTCCAACAGCAATCTCTAGTCTTCCATCTTGCTTGTATAATTCCTTCCACTTAATGTTTGTCATCTTCTCAGAACTTCATGTGCTTTGTCCCTCCTACTTTCTCCTAATCTATCAGCACTTCTGGGTTCCCTTATCTTCCCTTCCTCTACAAGTTATATCCTAAGGTCCATTATTTCAACTGTTCTCTTTCTCATATCCCGAACTTCATTCCCATTTTGATACTTGTGAACTCTACATCTTTCACTTAAAATATTTCATAGAACATTTATTAACTTCTCAAAACCTTGGTTTTCTTGTGGATAATATGTGAGTAATTATACCTACCTCATTAGATTATGGTAAGGATTAAACGAGTTACAATATACACAAACTCTTCAGCCTACTTTCAACCTGTATGGAGAAAAGTTGTGGAGAAAGGTAACATGACATTTAGAGATAGACCATGTTTGCACCTGCACTGGTGCATGCTGCTGCAGAAACTCCCCAGGTTAGGCAGATTCATATAATATACATTTTGGGTCACCAGCCTATAGTGAGTCCTTAAGATTGTCAGATAGTTCAACTCCAAGCAAGCCTATTTATGAATCTTTAAAAGATGGATACTTATGTATTTGGAATAACTGAATGTATGTTTAAATTTTAGAAATCTCCGAGAAGCAAGGGATAATGCTGTGGCTGAAAAGGACCGAGCAGTGATGGCTGAAAAGGATGCTTTAGAAAAACATGATCAGCTCTTAGACAGGTAAGCATCCTGAAAATAGAAATGTTAAAACTCTTCAGTTTTGGGGGCCGGCCCTGTGGCGTAGCAGTTAAGTTCAAGAGCTCCGCTTCGGCGGCCTGGGGTTCGTGGGTTCGGATCCCAGGCGCGGACCAACACACTGCTTGTCAAGCCATGCTGTGGCGGCATCCCATATAAAGTAGAGGAGGATAGGCACAGATTGTTAGCCAGAGCCAATCTTCCTCAGCAAAAAGAGGAGGATTGGCGACGGATGTTAGCTCAGGGCTGATCTTTCTCACAAAAAAAAAAAACTCTTCAGTTTTTGTCCCTGTTACTTTTTCTTGTAGAAAATATGTTTTGTGTTTTTTTTAAATTTTATTTGTTTATTTTTCCCCCAAAGCCCCAGTAGATAGTTGTATGTCATAGCTGCACATCCTTCTAGTTGCTGTGTGTGGGACGCAGCCTCAGCATGGCCAGAGAAGCGGTGCGTCGGTGCACGCCCGGGATCCAAACCCGAGCCACCAGCAGCAGAGCGTGCGCACTTAACTGCTAAGCCATGGGGCCGGCCCTAGAAAATATGTTTTTAACAGAAGTATAATTTTCATTTCAATTGAAGTATAACTTACATGCATCATTTTTGTAATATGTAATTGTTGCGTTTATTGAAACATGATATAGAACAGTTCAGTAACCCTAGAGAGTTTCCTTCTACCCCTTTTGTCAATCTTAACCACTACCCCTCAAGAGGCAAACACTTTCTGATTTCTGTCACTATAGCTTAGTTTTGCTCTTCCTGGACTAAAAATAAATGGAATCGTACAGTATATACTCTTTTGTGTCTAGCTTCTTTCACCCAACATTATATGTTTTCATCCATTTTGTTGTTGTATCAGTAGTTCATTCCTTCCTATTGCTGAGTCTGAATAGACCACAGTTCATTTATTCATTCACCTGTCAATGGACATTTAGGTTGTTTCCACTTTGGAGCTATCATGAATAAAGCTGCTCTGAACATTTTTATACAAGTCTTCTAGTGGGCATATGTTTTTTTTTTTTTTTTTTTTTTAATTTTTTAATTTTATTGCAGTAACATTGGTTTATAACATTGTTTAAATTTCACGTGTACATCATTGTACTTCTATTTCTGCATAGATTACATCATGTTCACCACACAAATACTAATTACAGCCCATCACCACACACATGTACCGAATTATCCCTTTCACCCTCCTCCCTCCCCCCTTCCCCTCTGGTAACCACCAATCCAATCTCTGTCCCTATGTGTTTGTTTATTGTTGTTATTATCTACTACTTAATGAAGGAAATCATAGGTATTTGACCTTCTCCCTCTGACTTATTTCACTTTGCGTTATACCCTCAATGTCCCTCCATGTTGTCACAAATGGCTGGATTTCATCGTTTCTTATGGCTGAGTAGTATTCCATTGTGTATATATACCACAGCTTCTTTATCCATTCGTCCCTTGATGGGCACTTAGGTTGCTTCCAAGTCTTGGCTATTGTGAATAACGCTGCAATGAACACAGGGGTGCACGTACCTTTACAAATTGGTGTATTCAAGTTCTTTGGATAAATACCCAACAGTGGAATAGCTGGATCATATGGTAGTTCTATCCTTGATTTTTTGAGGAATCTCCATACTGTTTTCCATAGTGGCTGCACCAGTTTGCACTCCCACCAGCAGTGTATGAGAGCTCCCTTCTCTCCACATCCTCTCCAACACATGTTGTTTCCTGTCTTGTTAATTATAGCCATTCTAACGGGCGTGAGGTGATATCTCATTGTAGTTTTGATTTGCATTTCCCTGATAGTTAGTGATTTTGAACATCTTTTCCTGTGTCTGTTGGCCATCTGTATATCTTCTTTGGTGAAATGTCTGTTCAGGTCTTTTGCCCATTTTTTAATTGGGTTGGTAGTTTTTTTGTTGTTGAGATGCATGAGTTCTTTATATATTTTGGAGATTAAGCCCTTATCAAAAGTATGGTTTGCAAATATCTTCTCCCAATTGTTAGGTTGTCTTTTCGTTTTGTTGATGGTTTCCTTTGCTGTGCAGAAGCTTTTTAGTTTGCAAGAGAAACAATAGAAAAAATAAACAAATGGGACTACGTCAAACTAAAAAGCTTCTGCACAGCAAAGGGCATATGTTTTTATTTCTCTTGGATAAATATCTAGGAGTGGAATTGCTAATCATAGGGTAGATGAATGTTTTACTTTAAAAGAACCTGCCAAACTTTAACTGCAAAGTGGTTGTACTATTATACACTCCCCAGTTCATTTTTTAAAAATCTGTGTGTTCTAGTTCATGTATGTTGGAGGGAGGGGAAGAGAGAGAATACTCTTTAATTTATTAATAGAAAAGGATATTTAATAGCTTTGTGAAAAGGAAAATCACCAATGAGTATTAAGGTAAATATCGTGACCTCATTGAACACCCTGAATTCTCGGTGGTTCGACTACATACAGAGTAAACAAAGTGGTTACCTTTTTTTTTTTCAACTTTTTATTTTAAAATAATTTCAGGCAAAAGTTGCTAAAATAATACAGAAAGTTTCCATTTACCTTTCACTTACTGATAAACTTTGAAAATAAGCTTAATGGGTTTTTTAATTATTAAATGAAGACCAGATTAATTTGTGATTTAAGCAATACATGAAACTAAAAATTGAGTCATCTTCATATAATTAACCTATTGTCAATCTTTTAGAATGTGAAAATCTTTTAGAATGGCTCTAATTGTTATACTTTTGAATTTACATCAACTTTCTAAACTTGACCCATGGAGGAATTTTAATAAATGTAATATTGAAGAAATTTTTCCTATAATGTAAGTGTGTCCAATTCCAAAAATTTTAATGTAAAATAAATTTATAAATCAGCCATTTTTATTGGAGTGCTGTTACAATCTGTCTTAAAATTATCTTTTATTATGTTTAACAATTCCATTTATAAATCTATATGATGTCCACTAAAGATTTACTTGGCTTTTTGTTGATGTTGTTTTTGAATGTGATATATTTAGTAATGGCTCCAGAATAATATTTATGGACAAATTAACAAGCTTTAAAAGAAAGCATAAGATTTTAGCTAGTAAACCAGAACTTATATTCAGGCAGAATTTCATAACTTGCTAGCTTTTGTATGTTTTTGTGAATTTAGAGAGAAGAGAATACTAAATCTGATCTTAAAATTGGCTGCTTTATAATTATACTAAGCTATGTAATATCCTAAACTCTGACACATAAAAATCCTTTTTATCTTACTTGTCCATACACTAGCAACTGGTATTTATCCTAAAGTCTATGGGATGCTTTAGTATCTGAAAGTATCTTCTGAATTATTGAGACTTCATTCATTTAATGTTTGTGTGTGTCTTGCACATAAGTAGTACTATAGAATTGTTTGTTATTATTATTATAGAATAATTCGTTCAATTAATTCTGTTATTTAGCTTTACTAAATAAATTTTTGTTATTGAAAAGTTGATATTTTTCCAAATCGTTTTTCACTAGTACAGTCATGCACCACATAATGACGTTTCGGTCAATGGCAGACCACATATACAATGGTGGTCCCATAAAATTACTCTATAACCTAGGTTTGTATAGAAGTCTGTACCATCTAGGTTTGTGTAGGTACACTCTATGATGTTCGCACAACGACGAAACTACCTAACGACGTATTTCTCAGAATGTATCCAGTCATTAAGCCACACATGACTGTATAGTGAATAAATTGGAACAGCTGGTTTTTAAACTACCAAATGAGAGGAAGTTTATTTATTCTTAATTTCTGGAAGTGAGAGTAAAATGTTGCTTATTCAGAGCCTAATTTCCACCCAACCTTAAATATATGAATAGTTTTAAAATTAAGACAAGAGAAAAAAAGTGTTTCTGGGCACATTGGAAATAACCTGTGAGCAGCAAATACTGTAAATGCTCAGAACTTTAAAGGACCTTACGGGACCAAGGGTTTATTGAACAAATGAATGAGAATAATATCTGGGAATCTAAAACTCAAAATAAGCTTGGGCTTTAACAAAATGATTATTAGAACAGCTAAGGGTACTTATCTGTTTTTTGAGCTATAATATCAACAAGTGAAGGGGAAAGTCCCTCTTGCTTAAGGCTGTAATCTTGCTAGATGACTTCAAAAAAGTAGGATTCTGGATGTCCCCACAATTTAATTCTTCCTTAATTAATCTTATAAATTCAATACAATTCATATCAAAAATTTCAAAAAACTTTTTAGCAAAACTTGACAAACTGACTCTAAAATTCTTTTTCAGAATTGCTGTGCTATTCTTATGCCTGTTCTTTTTTTAAATTTTTTATTGAAGTAACATTGGTTTATAACATTATATAAATTTCAGGTGTACATCATTATATTTTGATTTCTGTGTAGACTACATCGTGTTCACCACCCAAAATCTAATTGCCATCCATCACCGTGCACGTGTGCCCTTTTACCCCTCTCACCCTCCCCCCTCCTATTCTTGTGCCTGTACTCTCCCATATGAATTTTATAGTTATGTTTTTCATCCATCCAAAGTTCATTTTTGGGTATGGTCTAGATAGAGAACTAATTTTATTTATTTATCTTTTCATGAAAATGTCCGTTTCCTTAAGTTAAACTATACATTGAATGAGATTCAAATAAAAATAACAGCAAGATTTTTTTTTTTTTAAGTCTCCGTTCTAACTTACTCTTGTGTTGGATGGTGTTGGAGTAGCACACGCCTTTTAGGATCCTGGTAAGGAGAAGTAAGTTAGGGATGCACTTGAATTAGTGGTTTGCTGTCACTTCTGTTTATGGTTAAATTATTGTTAGCCGTTTCTGAGTAGCAGTGGCTTCCAGAAATACTCTTATTGCCCACTGTGCCCAACCCCCATGTGTCAGGCATTATTGGCCTTCTTTCTATATAGAGGGATATGCAAGATGCAATAATTTATCCTTTATTTTGGGGGGATGCCCTGGCGTTCCTCAGACCACTGGACACTTAAACTT